ATTATGCAATGCTGGCACTTACGCAACAAAAGCAAACACAAATTTCTCAATTTTCCCACAGCCTTTTCCTGCATTCTGGTGACCCTTCAACTATTGTAGCTTCAAATATTCTCCATGAATATTTACAAGAAGTAATGGATAGCAACAGCACATAGACTTATATAGTGCTTCACAGCCCTCTCAGCAGTCTACAGAGTCAGCCTCTTGCCCTCAACAATCTGGGTCCTCATTTTACCGACCTCGGAAGGATGGGAGGCAGCCACAAGAACATTAAGATGCTTGTTCTCTCACTGTCCTGAGGACTTTTTCCACTCAGTGTTTGGGCCTAGTGGGAGGAAGGAGGTCACCTGAGACCCATCTGAAGGAGGCACATGTCAGTGAACATGGTTGAGAGAGGAGAACCTGGACTCGCCGTCTCATCTGAGGTCCAGAGAGTGCTTCTCCAAGGACAGCTCCGTAGGGGTGTGTCTAAGGCACAGTTTCCCAACTTTGACCCCTTTAAGATGCATGGACTTCAACTCCCAGAATTCCCCAGCCAGCTGGTCCAAGGTGTATGAACAGGTTCTTTCAGGGGTTCAATGAGTACTTAGAAAAGGCAGGTAAGGCTCATCCTTCTCATCCTCCATCCGGCCATTTTTTTCACTTCTGATTGGAATCCAGTCAAATCCAAGACTTTCCCAAGCAAGAAACGGATGGAAACTGATCAAGGAGAAAAGCAACCTGGAACTCAGGAGAAACTTCCTGACCGTGAGAACAATTAACCAGTGGAACCACCTGCCTCCAGAAGCGGTGAATGCTCCATCACTGGAAGTTTTAAAGAAGAGACCGGACAGCCATTTGTCTGAAATGGTATAGGGTTTCCTGCCTGAGCAGGGGGTTGGACTAGATGACCTCCAAGGTCCCTTCCGACTTTATTATTATTATTATTAACAACCTGCCTCCAGGAGCGGTGAATGCTCCAACACTGGAAGTTTTTAAGAAGAGAGTGGACAGCCATTTGTCCGAAATGGTATAGGGTCTCCTGCCTAAGCAGGGGGTTGGACTATATGACCTCCAAGGTCCCTTCCAACTTTTTATTATTATTATTATTAGCCCTTATTATTATTATTATTGGCCCTTGTTGACCAACTATTTTGAGAAAAAAAGCATATGATAGTTCTGGGGGGGGGGAAAGGCGAGCCACCCTAAGCGTTGAGGATCCCTTCCTTCAGTCAGTGAGACCCTGAAAACTATAAGGGTGTGAAGTTGCATCTAAGCAGGGGATTTGCCAGGTAATAATAATGATGATGATGATGATGATGATGATGGAAGGGACCGTGGAGGTCATCTATGCCAACCCCCTGCTCAGGCAGGAAACCCTATACCACTTTGGACAAATGGCTGTCCAGTCTCTTCTTAAAAACTTCCAGTGTTGGAGCATTCACCGCTTCTGGAGGCAGGTGGTTCCACTGGTAATTGTTCTCACTGTCAGGAAGTTTCTCCTCAGTTCTGGGTTGCTTCTCTCCTTGATGAGTTTCCACCCATTGCTTCTTGTCCTGCCTTCAGGATAATAATAATAATAATAATAATAATAATAATAATAATAACCCCCAGTGAGACACTACCTTGACGTGGTTGTGGGGCTTGTGTACTCTGAGGAAGATGAGAGCTATGCCAGAGGTTCAACCATATTGGACAGGTCTCATCAGAGGAGTCAGACAAAGAGTGTCTCTCCCATACAAAATATGGTGAGACGTAAATTTCAGAATGCCATACCGGCTCGGATGTCGCCCGGGTTAACAAGGTCTGCGCTAGATATTGGAGTTCCTGGATATCTGGTGAAAAATGGGTTACAGGACTCAGGACTGTTGGCTGAGCAACCAGGGCCAGCAGCTGCAGAACTACTGGAAGAAAAGATATTTACCCGTCGCAGATACACAGTGATTGAAAACAAAGAAATACAAATTCGCTATTAGTCAATTGCAAAAGGCGGCCTTATTAGGAACTGCTTCCATCCTGCGGCGATATCTGTAATACCATCAAACATCCACATCTGCCTATCCCAGGTCCTGGGTAAGGACTCGATAGGTAGACAAAATGCCAAATCCAGTCTGAACATCTGGCTGACTGTGCGATGATCGATAATAATAATAATAATAATAATAATAATAATAATAATAATAATAATAATAATAATAATAATAATAATAATAATAATGGGATACTCCCAGGTGCTGAGCATGAATTATCCCAAGGTCATGTGGCAAAAGGGGTTTTTCAAGAGAAGTTGTCTGCAATACTATTTTGAGAGCTTGTTTCGTTTTGTATCTACAACAACAACACAAAAATGGGGAAGGAACATCACAAGGGAAGCTGTTAACGTGGGAGAGAGCAAATGAGTAGCAATGCATTTCTTTGGAAGTCATTTTAAAAAAGCTATTAGTGGATGCTCCCATTTGGAGGACTCATAACCATGAAATGGAACTTGAGGATCCTAGACCCTACTACGACATCCCCAACTGAAGACTTCCTGGCTACTAATTAAACACCAGCATAGAAGACTTGAATGTCTCTTTCCATTCAAATATTTCTCCAGATGTTCAAACTCCTCGCTGGCTTTCTTCTGTATCATTCTTATGGTCCTTCCTATCATTCGTTCATCCACCTGGACTCTTTGGTTAAAAATAACCTTTATTTTTATGGCCAACTGTAAACTTTAAATAAATTCTAAAACTCTACAAAAAAACCCACTTTGGTACTTACTTGAATCTTCAGGGCTGGAATCCACTAACAATGCCTGGGCTTCTCCAAATGATGGACCTTCTAGAAACCCAAAATAGTTGAGTTGGAAAGAACCACAAGGATCATCCGATGTGGAGGAATTTGCATGTGCAGCAAACTGCCACGCATTGCCCCCCCACAAACCTCATAACCTTTTGATACCCTTTGTCCCAAGGAAGCAGCCAAAAGATCACCCCCTTTTGATTTAATATCTTACCTACCTAAATAAATAATATGCTTTAAGTTCCCCCTTATCTCTTCCTGTCTTTATCTCTTCTTGTCTTTATCAGTTCTTTCTCCTTTTCTAATTTACCTGTATTTGTTTTTACCTGCTCTCAACAGGTAATGTGTTACTAGAAAATAATTGCTTATATGAAGGAATTTTTCAATTACTTTATGTCAACAATTAAAGGTTAAACTTCTAAATGTAAAATGTCAGCAGTTAATGGTAAAGCCTATGTATGTAAAAAGTATATAAGAAACAATAAACTCAGAGTTTAAGAAGCTGTGTGAAGCTATGTCATGCAGCTTCAAACCTCTGCTCAAGACATGCCTGAGTCTTTTTCTTAGCATCGTTACAATCCGGTCCAACTTTCTGCAATATGCAGGAAAGACCAGTTAACAATAGACGAGAATCTTTTTAGCTCAGGGCTGAATTGTGGGATCCTTGCTGCTCTCTGAGCTTGGTGGTTTTCTTACAGATGTTTCATGACTAAGTTGCAGTGATGATGTTTCCTAGTCTGATAATAAACCATGCTCAAGAGAACAGCCAAGCTCAGAGAGCAACAAGGACGCCACAAAACCAGTTAAAAACCCATTGGCCTTGTCCCCCCTCCCCACTCTGGTTGAAGGGAAGACAATGAATTGTGGTAGCCCATATGTTGTTGTTGTTAATTGCGAAGTCGTGTCCGACCCATCGCGACCCCATGGACAATATTCCTCCAGGTCTTCCTGTCCTCTACCATCTTCTGGAGTTCATTTAAGTTCACACCTACTGCTTTAGTGACTCCATCCAGCCATCTCATTCTCTGTCGTCCCCTTCTTCTATTGCCCTCAATCTTTCCCAGCATTAGGCTCGTCTCCAGTGAGTCCTTCCTTCTCATTAGGTGGCCAAAGTACTTGCGTTTCCACTTCAGGATCTGGCCTTCTAAAGAGCAGTCGGGGTTGATCTCTTCTAGGACTGACCAGTTTGAACGCCTTGCAGTCCAGGGGACTCGCAGGAGTCTTCTCCAGCACCAGAGTTCAAAGGCCTCAATTCTTTGGCGCTCAGCCTTTCTTATGGTCCAGCTTTCACAGCCATACATTGCAACTGGGAAAGGTAGCCCATATGAGGGGGGTCATATGGGGTTCCTGAATGAAGGAGACCAGTCTGGTGGTAGAGGGAGGGTAAACAGTTGAAGTGAGATGGGTGTCAAAGCCGAGGAGGCGCAGCAGTTAGGGTGCAGTACTGCAGGCCACTTTAGCAGGTCAGCGGTTCAAATCTCACCGCTCAATATATATATATATATGTGTGTTGTCTGAGGTTTTCGCGGGTGTTTGTATGTAGGTCTTTGGTTGTTCAGGTTTTCTCCCGCGTAAAATTGGAAGTGTCTTGGCGACGTTTTGACGAAGTCCCATTCGTCATCTTCAGGCTGGTGCTTTCAGCTTCGTGCTTCACCAGCCCGAAGATGACGAATGGGACTTCGTCGAAACGTCGCCAAGACACTTCCAATTTTACGCGGGAGAAAACCCGAACAACCAAAGACCTATGTATGTATGTATATATATATATATATATATATATACATATATATATATATACATTGCTTACTGGTGTACACCGCTTAGAGAGTGCTTGCACTTAAAGCGGTATATAAATAAATCATAAATAAAAGCAAATTTAATAAATAAATAAAGCGAACTGGAATTTCAAATGACCCCCCCTCAGGGGTCCTCCGGGTGAGCAGATCAGCCCTGGGGCCTGGTGGAGCTTTGGGTCTGCCTGGTTCAGCAGACCCCCCCTTTTGAACCCCAAAGGGAAGGACTGAGCTCCCACGTAGGACATTTGAACCCCTCAGGCGTCTCTCAGAAGAGAAAGACTTTGCCCTGGGAGACGCCATCATGCCCTCCATCCGGGAGCCATTTTGCCCTTTCTTAGAAAAGTTTCCCCTGAAATCTGAGGGTCAGAAACGAGGTGCTTGGAGGGTCTCTTGTGATCCAACCTTGAAGGCTTCTTCTCTCTCTTCTCTCTGACCATGCAGAAGCTTCTGGAGCAGAAGAACTGAACAGGGTTCTGGGGGAAACGGTCACATTCCGCGTGAAGATCGCTGGACCCTATAAATCAATATCCTGGAATAAAATTGTCGGCATCAGATCTGGAAATATTGCTGTGGTGATCTTTCGGAAGCCATGTGCCCTTCTGGTCCTCCTACCAGCTTTTGAAAACAGAGTGACCGCTTCCAAGGACTGCAGAGGATTACTTCTCAGTCATGTGGAGAAAAAGGATGCAGGACAATACACTGCAAACGTTGTTTTACAAACCGGAGAGACAGTGAATGAGTCCTTTGAGCTACGGGTTTTCAGTAAGTATCCCAGCCATGGCAGCAAACTCCTGGCCTCCCTCCTTTGCCCAGGATAATGTGGAGAGGTGGGGGTTTTTCTGTTGGGGGGGGGCTTTGGATGTCCAGTTTCTGGAGAGACACACTTTCTGGATGGAGCCCAGAACTGCTCACCTGAAAGGCTAGCCTAGCATATGTTTGCTCCACTCATAGGCCAACTTAAGGTGACCAACTTTTTTACAAGGAAAAGGAGGACACAAATAAATTGAAGAAAAAAAACATCGTAAATAAAAGAAACATTTTATTCATTGCAACAATAATACAGAAGACACTATCATATGATAAATGCATAATAAAAAACATTTGTAGCAATAACATTTTATATTGTAATTATGCTTACGTGTCGCACCCTCATCCGCAGCCGCCCCGCCAGCACTGCTGCCCCGCTGTGTAGAGCGGGCCCGGCGGCTCCCAAAGTACCAACTGCACTGGCTCCGGCCCTGGGGGGCAGCCTGCCGTCGACACACCCCACCTGCAGCCGTCCTGCCAGCACCACCGCCCACCCTACACAGCCCCATGTAGAGCAGGCCCTGCAATTCCCATAGCACAGGGGGCAGCCGGCCACCGTCGTCCCTCACACCCCCACCCTGCAGCAGCCCCGCCACCCCTGCCTCTTGTACCCGCAGCCATTATTGCCCTAGCAGGGCCAAAGATCAAGAGTGGCATCACCGCTCCAGTCTCCTCCAGGTATCTTCGGGACTAACTAGGAGATGGTGTAGTTGGGTAGCAGGGAGGGGTGCAAAGTTCCTGCCAATTCGCCTTCGCTGCAGACAACTTACATGTGCAAAGTTTGCCGCCTGGGTGTTTTGGCACGCTCAGCAGCAATTCCTATTGGCTTTTGAAAGCCAATAGGGGGAGTAGCCAGCTCATGCAAAAGTTGAAAAAAAAAACATCAAAAAAAGGTGCCGGAACGCCGTTCTGAGCATTCTATGAGGAAAAAAAAAGCCCTGCAGATTAATCTTCAAATATCGAAAAGGAGGACATGTAGGAGGACACTTTTCGAGGGAGGACAGAACTCACAAAAGGAGGACTGTCCTCCCTAAAGGAGGACGGTTGGTCATCTTACCAACATTTCCCTGTTGGTTCCATCCTGCTGACCATCTTCCATGCAAGGAGCTTTGGCACAGTGGAGGATTTGCATTTCTATGATGGGTTAGAAGTGGTCTCCTTTGAACCCCCCCCCCCTTGGAAGGAGGCCTGAGGGGGGCCAGCCCAGCCTTCTCCAGCCTTCCCTCTCCATGTGGCCCAGCCTGCCCCAGAGCAAGCCAGGTGGGTTCCCAGGTGGGGTGTCGGGAAGAGAAAGGCAAGTTTGCTTTGAGGCTGGGCTCTCCAGAGAAGACCCTCAGGACCCCCTCCATGGATCTGGTGGGACTAACTGGACTCACAAGTTCTTTGGAGAAGAGTCAAGAGGGCTTCAGAGGTGAGCCTGGAGACTCATCATCCTGTTCTCAGTTCAACACAGTGCTGGGCTGCATTAACAGAGGGAGAGAATCAAGATCACATGAAGTGTTAATACCACTTTACAAGGCCTTGGTAAGGCCACACTTGGAATACGGCATCCAGTTTTGGTCACCGCGATGTAAAAAAGATGCTGAGACTCTAGAAAGAGTACAGAGAAGAGCAACAAAGATGATCAGGGGACTGGAGGCTAAAACTTTTAAGGAACGGTTGCTGGAATTGGGGATGTCTAGTTTAACGAAGAGAAGGACAAGGGGAGACATGATAGCAGTCTTCCAGTATCTCAGGGGCTGCCCCAAAGAAGAGGCAGTCAAGTTATTCTCCAAGGCGCTTGAAGGCAGGACAAGAAGCAACGGATGGAAACTAATCAAGGAGAGAAGCAACTTAGAACTAAGGAGAAACTTCCTCACAGTCAGAACAATGAACCAGTGGAACTACCTGCCTCCAGAAGCGGTGAATGCTCCAACACTGGAGGTTTTTAAGAAGAGACTGGACAGCCGTTTGTCCGAAATGGTACTATAGGGTTTCCTGCCTGAGCAGGGGGTTGGACTCGATGATCTCCAAGGTCCCTTCCAACATTATTATTATTATTATTATTATTATTATTATTATTATTATTATTATTATTATTATTATTATTATTATTCCTATTGTCTTCTACCTGGTGGGCCTCACCTATGAGTGTCATAGGTGTGACTGGAGAAGATTTTGGGAGGATTGTTATTTGTGACACAAATGGGTAGTGCATATTTTTCCTGCTCTAATCTAAACTGTCAGAACTCGTTTCTGTCATTTGGGGTCTTATTTTCGGGTTCCACCATTAGCTCGGTGGGAGGGGGGGGACGCTGGGCTGCTACATTGTTTCACTCTCTGCTTTCTTTCTCATGCCTGTGCCTTACTCTCTATCTCCTTTGATGTTCCTTGGGGTGAGAAAGGAATGTGCCTTGGGCCATTTGTCTTCTCTCCGGCCACGGAAGACGAAGCCGCGCAAGTCAAGGAAATAATAATAATAATAATAATAATTTGGAAGGGACCTTGGAGGTCATCTAGTCCAGCCCCTGCTCAGGCAGGAAACCCTATACCATTTCAGACAAATGGCTATCCAGTCTCTTCTTAAAAACTTCCAGTGTTGGAGCATTCACTGCTTCTGGAGGCAGGTGGTTCCACTGGTTAATTGTCCTCACTGTCAGGAAGTTTCTCCTTAGTTCCAGGTTGCTTCTCTCCTTGATGAGTTTCCATCCATTGCTTCTTGACCTGCCTTCAGGCGCTTTGGAAAATAGCTTGACTCCCTCTTCTTTGGGGCAGCCCCTGAGATACTGGATCACTGCTATCATGTCCCCCCTTGTCCTTCTCTTCGTTAAACTAGACATACCCAATTCCAGCCACCGTTCCTTATATGCTTTAGCCTCCAGTCCCCTGATCATCTTTGTTGCTCTTCTCTGCACTCTTTCTAGAGTCTCAACATCTTTTTTACATCGTGGTGACCAAAACTGGATGCTGTATTCCAAGTGTGGCCTTACCAAGGCCTTGTAAAGTGGTATTAACACTTCTCGTTATCTTGATTCTCTCCCTCTGTTAATGCAGCCCAGCACTGTGTTGGTTTTTTTGGCAGGTGCAGCACATGGATGGCTCATATTTAGGTGATTGTCCACTAGGTGATTGTCTGAGTAACAGCTGTGAAAGCAGTGCCTTATGCTCCTGTTTCCCACCACTGCTTCACACCTGTGGATTGGGCAGCTTGAACCATCTGAATGGACCATTGGGGTGGGGTTTGTGAATGAGTCTTTTAAACTATTATTTCGTGTGGGAAACCTTTAGATCCTGCCTTTTGTGCCTATTGTCAATTTCTCCCAAGAAAAGTTCCTTTTGGAAAGATGCTGCTCCAGGAGTTCTGCTTTCTTGGGAAGAGGAATTGAGGTGGGTCCTTACATAAACAAAACCATTGGCTGATCCATGCTGTTGCTGCTTGTCCTTCCTTGTTGGCCTTCCTGTGATTTTCTGGTCTTTCATAAATGGTGTCTCTCCATCTCCTGCTTAGGTGAGTTGCTGGACTCTCAGCTGAAAGTGACTTGTACTTCTGATGGGGCTGGAAGTGGAACTTGGCAGCTGAATTGCTCTACAGAGACCTGGAAAGACAGGGTGTATATCAGCTGGACTTTAGCCACTAAGAGCACGGATCCCAGCCCTGGGAGTTCTGTGATCCAGTTTGTCTCCCAAGATCTCGATGCAACGTGCACAGCAGAAAACCCTGTTAGCAAGGCCTCCAGGATGGTCTCCTTAAAACAAGTTTGTGCAGGTAAGTTTTTACCGTCTTAAAAGAGGCTGTGAAACTAGAGGTGAATCTGAGATTCTCTGGAATATAAGGTCTGGGGTTGGATAGAAGACTCCCAAGAAGATGTAAAAGATCTTCCAACTCTGTTATACTGTTACTGTTACATTTAGCTGGGAGACAAAAGGTCCTGGAGAAGGTAGATCTTCCCATGCAGAAGAACCACGGAATTTGAAAAAGGGTTGGGCTACGCCAGTCTAAAGGAAAGAAGAAATAGGGGCGACATGATGGCAATGTTCCAGTATTTGAGGGGCTGCCACAAGGAAGAGGGGGTCCATATTATTCTCCAAAGCACCAGAGGGTAGGACAAGATACAATGGTTGGAAACTGATCAAAGAGAGAAGCAACCTGGAATTAAGGAGAAACTTCCTCACAGTGAGGCCAATTAACCAATGGAACAGCTTGCCACCAGAAATTGTGGGCGCTCCAACACTGGAGGTTTTTAAAAAGAGAGTAGACAATCACTTGTCTAAGATGGTATGGGTCCTCCTGCTTGAGCTGGGGGCTGGACTAGAAGACCTCCATGGTCCCTTCCAGCTCTGTTCTACTCTATTCTGTTCTGTTCTGTTCTATTCTATTCTATTCTGTTCTGTTCTGTTCTGTTGTTCTATTCTATTCTATTCTATTCTATCCTATCCTATAATTCTATTCTATTCTATATTCTATTCTATTCTTATTATTATTACTTCTATTCTATTATGTTCTGTTCTGTTCTGTTATGTTGTGTTCTATTCTATTCTGTAATTCTATTCTATCCTATAATTCTATTCTATTCTATTCTATATTCTATTCTATTCTTATTATTATTACTTCTATTCTATTCTATTCTATTCTATTCTATTCTATTCTATTCTATTCTATATTCTATTCTATTCTTTATTATTACTTCTATTCTATTCTATTCTATTCTATTCTATTCTATTCTATTCTATTCTATTCTATTCTATTCTATTCTATTCCACTCCACTCCATTCCATTCCATTCCATTCCATTCTTTCATTGCATAGTTTTCTTTTATTATTTTCTTTACTTTTTTAATATATTTTATGGATTGATGCCATCCAACTTACTATCCAAACTGGCTCTGGATGGTTTACAATATAATAAAATCAGAAATATAAGAAAATTAAAATTAAGAACAGTCAGCTAGAAACTACAAACCAAGAGCATGGTAAACATAAAGCCTGAATAAAAGTTTATAAAATAAAACACAGAGTAACACACCGAGTAAACTGGGCAATTGCAAAGTAGTCATTCAGAGTCTAAAACAATGTTAATTAAAATGCAATAAAACTACAACTAAAAGCCTGTTTTAAAAGATAAGGTTATAGATGCACACAGGCTTGTATGTATGGACTTCAACTCCCAGAATTCCCCAGCTAGCACAATGTCCAGGAATACAGAGAATTGAAGTCCACACATTTTAATGTAGTCAAGGTTGAGAAAAACACTCCTCTAACCCAGTGGTTCTTAACCTTTTTGAACGAATCACCCCCTTGAGCCAATGAGGAAGTTGTCATCGCCCCCCCTCCCCCAACATCTCTCAATCACAACATAGGAAATAATTCTTCAATTTATGCAAACCCTTTTTTTGTTTTCTTTAAAATTGTCATCAGGACATATCGATGCAACTAATTTATTTCCAGTCTTTTTCCCATATCTCCCATATTCTGGCCAATGGCGCCCCACTGTATGGGTAGAGGCTGCTGCACAACGCGCATGAAGATAAGCGATGCGTCTTCACATACGTACGGCGTTCTGTCCTGAAGCTAGCAGGAGGAACATTTGAAAACAATTCAGTCCACTAATAGTGAGCGATCTGATGTTTTTGTACGACAGATATACAGTGATTCACTGTACAAAAAAGTCTCAAAAGTGTCCCCAAAACGTCTCGCTCCATCGCCCCCATGTCACCCCCTTTTCATTCCTTCGCCCCCGCATCGCCCTTTTTCATTCCATCGCCCCCCTGAAAAATGAAATCGCCCCCTGGGGGGCAATATCGCCCAGGTTAAGAACCACTGCTCTAACCCATCGACACCTCTAAATGCACTGAGTTACCTGAGAGAACATGACTTGAGGATGGCAGTGCTCAAATCTAATCCTCATCCAGATACTTCTCAGCTGGTCTTTCCTTGGGGTCCAACGGGCACCTTTGATGGCCCTTTCTGTTCTTCCTTGGTTCACCTGGCCTCTTTGAATCCTAACCCTCACCTTTAAGCCCAGCAACTATCTGCTTCGTCATCTTTACCAACTCTACATAAACTCTTAAAACTCTAAAAATCACTTGATACTTATTTATGTCTTCAGAGCTGGAATCCAGAACAAGGCCCTGGCTTCCCCAGATGCTGGGCTTCTGGGGGACCATAAAAGGACCACAAGCATCATCCAGTCCAACTCTCTGCAATAGGCAGGGGAAAGAGTTTGGCCGTTCTAGGGCCCCCTCTCCCTTCTCCACCAGTCTTCCACCTTCCAGCCTAGTTGAGAGGAAGAAAACAAATTAGTGACGGCCTGCTCTGAGCTCAAACCTTGTTGGTGAGCCACTCCTGCGTGTGCAAGTGATATTGTTCTGCTTCCTGCCAGGGGAAACAACATGTTTGCCCTCCCCTCATCTTTCCAGTTTCCACTTCAGAAAGTCAAGGTGGTGGGACTGTATCCAATGGGAAGGTAGAGGCCCACCCTTCGGTGTGCAGACCGACTGCCGGGATGGTCAGCTCCTTGACCCGCACTGTGAATTGGCCAGGGACAAGGATCTTCAACAAATTGCCCAGGGTGAGGGTGCAGGGGAAGAGCGCTGTGGACCATGGGTGGGGGAGGAGCACTTGTGGAGAGCCAGTCGAAGATGGATTCCCACGGGGGATCAACTGTGGTGGGGAAGAGGGGCGATGTGACTGCAGCTAATTATCCTGGACCCCACTCTGGTGGGGCAGATCCTCCTTTTAAGCCCCAAGGGAAGGGCTCAGCTCCCACACAGGACATTTGAACCCCTGTGGCTTCTCTAAAAGAGGGCCCACCATGTCCTCTATCCTGCAGCCATTTTGTTCTTCCTCAGACAAAGAAGTGTGTAGTGGGGTGCCCCAGGGCTCTGTTCTGGGCCCAGTACTCTTCAACATCTTCATCAATGATTTGGATGAAGGGATAGATGGGGAACTCATCAAATTTGCAGATGACAACAAACTGGCAGGAATAGCCAACACTCCAGAAGACAGGCTTGGGATACAGGAGGATCTGGACAGACTTGAACACTGGGCACTAACTAACAAAATGAAATTCAATGGTGAAAAAAGCAAGGTTCTACATTTAGGCAAGAAAAACCAAATGCACAAGTACAGCATAAGTGGCACCATGCTCAATAGTAGTAACTGTGAGAGGGACCTCGGAGTCCTAGTAGACAATCACTTAAATATGAGCCAGCCGTCTGCTGCAGCTGCCAAAAAGGCCAACACAGTACTAGGCTGCATTAATAGAGGGAGAGAATCAAGATCACGTGAAGTGTTAATACCTCTTTACAAGGCCTTGGTAAGGCCACACCTGGAATACTGCATCCAGTTTTGGTCACCACGATGTAAAACAGATGTTGAGACTCTAGAAAGAGTACAGAGAAGAGCAATAAAGATGATTAGGGGACTGGAGGCTAAAACATATAAGGAACGATTGCTAGAATTGGGGATGTCTAGTTTAACGAAGAGAAGGACAAGGGGGGACATGATAGCAGCATTCCAATATCTCAGGGGCTTCCATAAAGAAGAGGGAGTCAAGCTGTTCTCCAAAGCGCCTGAAGGCAGGACAAGAAACAATGGAGGGAAACTCATCCAGGAGAGAAGCAACCTAGAACTAAGGAGAAACTTCCTGACAGTGAGAACAATTAATCAGTGGAACAGCCTGCCTCCAGAAGCGGTGAATGCTCCAACACTGGAAGTTTTTAAGACGAGACTGGACAGCCGTTTGTCCGAAATGGTATGGGGTTTCCTGCCTGAGCAGGGGGTTGGACTAGATGACCTCCAAGGTCCCTTCCAACTTTACTACTATTACTATTACTTCCCTAGAATCTGAGAGTCAAAAACGGGATAATTGGAGGTCTCTTATGACCCAATGTCTTCTTTCTAGCCTTGCAGGCTTTAGAACTTGGTAGAACTGGTTGCTAATTTTTTATTGACTTCGGCAAACCGGCTGATGCCCTAACTCTTTTTCACAAGGCCCAGAACAGCCCTCCGGAAGTGGTGTCTGGGTGCTTCCAGCGGTCCATCCTGGGCCTGGGAGGCCTCTCCAGCTCAGAACGGACTTCCAGGAGTGGCGTCCACGCAGGTATTTGAATCCCACCACTGCAGGTAGTCCTTGAGTTGCAACCACAATTGAACCCAACACTTCTGTTGCTAAGTGAGGCATTTGTTAAGTGAGCTTTGCTCCATTTTATGACCTTTCTTGCCATAGTTGTTAAGTGAATCATTGCAGTTGTTAAGTTAGTAACACAGATGTTAAGTGAATCTGGTTTCCCCACGGACTTGACTTGTCAGATGGTTGCAAAAGGGGATCCCCTTCCAGGACACTGCAACCGTCATAGTTACAAGTCAGTTGCCGAGTGACTGAATTTTGATCATGTAACCCTGGGGATGCTGCAACGGTCGTAAGTGTGAAAAACGGTCCTAAGTCACTTTTTTTCAGCGATGTTGTAACTTTGAACGGTCACTAAATGACATTTTGTAAGTCAAGGACTATTTGTATGCAACCAGTAGACATGATAAAATGCTAGTAAGAGCAATTGAAGCCACCTCTGGATAGACCAAGGACTTCTCCATGGCAGTGATGTTCCTGAGGATGCAACAGAAACTTCACTTCTTGGTACCCACAGATTATATTCCCAAATACACGGGGCTCCAAGCAGGCTGATTCTTTCTGGTCTGCTGGGATAGGAGGAGCAGTCAGTGAGAGGCGTAGAAACACATTATTGGCAGAAAAAATATTAAAGACATTAAGTGCTACTACCCAAACCTCTGAAAATGTTCTTAGAATCTGGTTTATCTCATGTGGATGAAAAAAAAACTCCAATGGAATCTCATGTTGATTCTACTGCAGGGACTTCATGTCTGGCATTAATAAGGTGACCAATCGTCCTCCTTTAGGGAGGACTGTCCTCCTTTTGTAAGTTCTGTCCTCTCTCGAAAAGTGTCCTCCTACATGTCATCCTTTTCGATATTTGAAGACTAATCTATAAATCTCCGTATTCGATCGATGCTGATCCAATCCGTTGCGGGTGATGTGACGTATTTGTATTTGACATGATGATTCGTCAAGGCTCGGTACAGTGCGGTGAGACGCGATTATGAGACGCATGTGCTCCACACAGGAGAATTGTTTTGAGAGAGTTCGCCGTGCACAAGAGTGCACCGCGCGCAAGTGGCTTTGTTTACTTCTTACCGAAACATGACACGACACACACACACGCATTAGACTCACTTCTTTCTCAGTGAATATTCAATCATACACAGGTGTATGTGTATTCTGTATTATTGTTGCAATGAATAAAATGTTTCTTTTATTTATGATATTTTTTCTTCGATTTATTTGTGTCCTCCTTCTCATTGTAAAAATGTTGGTCACCTTAGCATTAATGATTAGAAAGTGGCTGAATCTAGACACCAGCTCAGCACTCAGGAGATAAAACACATCAATGGAACACTTTTCCCTCTGCACATCTTGTCTTTGTGACTGGAGAAGCACCGCCTGCCTTAGCAAAGATCCATCTTGTGTGACCATCACACACATTCCTACCACAGACACTCATGGTGACCACTTTGTGTTGGGTCCGGCCTTTGAAGACCATGCAGGAGCTTCAGAAGAAGCAATGGCAAGCACAGCTTGGTGCACCTGGATAACACTGCCCTGATTGCTGGATGGAGTCTGGGTGGGGTTCCAGCTGCTGGTCATCTGTCTGGGCTTAGTGTGCTGGACCAGCCAGTTAGCTTAAGAACTATATGTTAGGATGTTTAGCATTTAAAGGATTAAACGCTGTTTCCTTAAGAGATGGCTTATGGGTAATGTAGTTTTAGCTGTTAGTTAATGTTATAGTTTATCGAGTTAAGTGGGAGGAGTTTCAAAGTTTATGACTGTACTTGCTGGCTTTGTGCCATTTTATCATTTCTCTGCATGGGTTCCAGCCCCGTGGCTGGAAGCTCCATGCCAAAACATGTGACTTGTACGCAGAAGAGGGAAAATCCATTGTTCATTTACCTGTGAAATGAGTCCATATTACTGTCAATATTCTGGAAGAACTTCTACATCAGTGGTTCTCAACCTGTGGGTCGGGACCCGATTTGGGGTCGAACGACCATTTCACGGGGGTCGCCAAACAACGCAGTCCGCCATTTCCCCCCCCCCTTTTCCTTAGCTGTGCTGCTCCTTTTTATTCTATTGGCTTTTGAAAGCCAATAGAATAGACTCTCTTGAATAGAGTCTAATTCTATTGGCTTTCAAAAGCCAATAGGAATTGTCCAGGCTGTCTCTGCCCTGCTGAGCCCGCCAAAAGTCCCATTCTGCAAACGGTGCTACACCACTGGAGTAGCCCTCGACTTACGACCGGTTGAGTAGTCCTCGACTTATGACCGGTTGGGGGTCGCGGCATTAAAAAGGTTGAGAACCACTGTTCTACATAAACGTGAGTTAATGTTTGAGGATACCTAGAATAAAAGTGATATTTGTTTTGACTTATTCCATCGAGTTAACTGTCTGTCTCAGCGGGATCTAGCAGCTTATTCTGCGTGAGACAGAATACTTAGTGATTAGCAATTGGTATATTCTCAGGAGCGGTTGAAAGGATTAACAGGGGCTGTTGCTCTTTTTCAGAACAGGCTAAGACCCCCTCTGCGCTGCCTCTCTGGGCCCTGCTGGGCCTAAGCAAACTGGGAAGTCTTCTCCTTCTTGGCTGTTTGGGGCTCATTCAGATGGTGAAGTCCAGAAAAGGTACCCTCTTAAGGATGCTCTGTGAGGAACCGCCACCCTTCTCTTCTCTTTTACTGCTCCTTCTGCCCCAGAGGAGATCATGGGTTGCTCAGAGGAACTGGGTGGAGCTGCCTTTGCAATAAATAGAATGGAGTGATGTGGTTCCGGCTAATGAAACATTCCAAAGAATGTTTATTTTCCTAAAAGTCTTTTAATGTTACAGAATATCGGCACAGGCACAACGGAGGGATGCTAGGATCTAAGTTCTCTTCCTCTGAGCAGTTAAATTATCAGCGTGTTCCCTCCCTAAATTAGCCGTCGTATCTCACACTATCCAATTAGTGTGAAGGTCAAATGTTTTCTTCCTCTTTCTTTCCCGGGCTTTACCCCCAACGCCCCTTCTGCTCTTTATTAACCCCATATTTACCAGACAATTCTGCATATTGTCATAAGCAAGAATATACAATATTTGCAGCATTGACATGGAGAATACTCACACTTCCCCTCCCCTTCCCTCCCCTCTCCCCCCTTCCCTTCCTTTCCCTGGTCAAAGGCCAGGTGAGACTCCCACAGTTACTTTGAATGTGGCTGTCTAGACTACCAGTCTACCATTTCGGTCACCCAATGGTCATCTGGATTATGACAGCCTAGAACAGTGGTGACGAACCTATGGCACGGGTGCCAGAGGCGGCACTTAGAGCCCTCTTTGCAGGCACGCATGCCATCACGTCAGTCCTAGGCTTTCAGCTGGGTTTTATAAAACCTTTTCGCTTTAGGCCTATGCCACCATGTACAAAAAAAAAAAAGGTTCAATCAATCAGTCAATTTCAACTTCTCGTGGGAAAAAAAAAGATCTTGCAAAGTTGGAATTGATTGGTTGAACTTTTTAGTCCCACCCAGTCTGCTGTTACCACTGCAGCCACGCCCACCCAATGGGCCACGCCCAGCCAATGGGCCACACCCACCCGGCACCTGATGATGCATAAGTGGGTTTTGGGTTGCAGTTTGGGCACTCGGTCTCTAAAAGGTTTGCCATCACTGGCCTAGAACCCAGGGATGAGAACTTTAGTACCCATTACAAATTCCTGGCCCTTGTGCTCACCCAGAAGATATGATCATCAGAGCTTCAATGTCCCTGGTCCACCCACTGCTGAATGGAAGGTTGGTCTGCAAAAAGGCACAGATGCCATTTTTACCTTATGCCATGCCCACCTCCTCCCACATATCAGGGTTTATATAACTTCCATCCCCCTTAGGGAATTCCCCCCACTCTGAAGACATCTCTCCCTCCCTCCCTCCTGGAAGTGGATGCAGAAAAGTCAGGTGGAATCTGAGGGTCTCGCACAAAGCAATTCTTTCATTTCCCCAAATCCAGCCCGCCCCCAGCCAGTCCACCGGCAGCCAAGGTGATGCTCCAGGGTTGTTTTGAGAAGGCTGAGGTGCTGGGTAGATAACAGGTCACAGTCAGGGCACAACAGCCTTGGAACCTAGGCTGGAACTGGCTGGGAAGGAATCTGCGTCATCTTCAAAGGCAACCCTCCTCCTTATTTCTCAAGCAGTTACAGCAAAAGCTTGCGAAAGATGCCAGCAAACATTCCTCACCCCCTCATACACATACACACCCTTTCCTAAGAATGGCAGGACACCAGCATGGTGTGTAGTGGAAAAACCACGATACTTACATCAGAAGACAAGACCACGAAAGGTTGGAGAAAACAGGTTTTATTTGCGCAAAGGTTCAGAGTATTCATACGACAAATTCTGAACCCCGAGTTACTCCCAGGGTGTCATTTTTATACAGCTTGTCACCCACGCTTTTACCCAAGGGATGACTTCTTATCTACTTTTAACACACTAAAAGAGAGAAGTTCATATCTTGAGACCACACACATAGGAAAAGGGAAGTTTAGACAATGTGCAGAAAACCACACTCCCCTACAAGCGTAATATCTCACACCATTTGTGACTTTCGGTTGGCACTTCTTGTAAAAATGTTTCTTCATAGAATTGCACGTAGGTTATCACACTCAGCCAGTTTATAATATTTGAAATAAATTTGAAAATAAATAAATATTAGTTAATGCTTTCAAAACATCACCTTTGTTAATTAAAATGTTGTTTATAGTATTTTTCCATCTCCCTTAATGGCATTTTCTACCTGCCACATTTTCCCCCTTTGAAACTTCACTTAAATCTCAGGATTATTGGGGAGTTTCATATATTGGGGGTCTTCATCTACATCAGTGGTTCTCAACCTTTTTAATGCCACGACCCCCAACCGGTCGTAAGTCGAGGACTAAACCAGTCGTAAGTTGAGGATTTTCCCTGCCCGGGAGCGCCGTGCATGCATGGTGCTGCCCCCTGTGCTGGCCGAGACGTAGCTGGCAAGCGGCAGAGACGGAGCAAGCCGACCATTGGCTGGGCCACCAGCTGGCCCAGCCCAAGGGAGATAAGGCATCGCTGGAAAAGGGGGGAAAAAATGGCGGACAGCCTTGCTTGGCGACCCCCGTGAAATGGTCGATCGACCCCAAATGGGATCGCGACCCATAGGTTGAGAACCGCTAATCTACATATTCCCCCTCATCCCATAAGGCCATAACCTGGGCTGTGGCCCTTTTTTCCACAAGCATAGAAAGGCTCTTAGAAATTGCACGCACAAAGATTGGTAAAATACATGGTAAAATTACACATCCAGCTACTATTAAGCCAATAAGGGCCACAATAGCTTGTAAGCCAGGAAGCTTTGGAAACCAAGAGCTAAACGTTTGGGCAAAGTCAAAACCGTTCCATTCTTGGTCAGCGTTGTGGGTTAGTTGTCTCATTTCAGTGGTTAATTGTTTAATAACCTTCCCAGTCTCATCAGTTTGTAGACAGCAATTGGATAAGGTTAAACTTTCCACACACTCCTCCCTCCTTGGCTAACAGGGAATTAATGACAATACTAATCAGCAACAGCACCACTACCACCCAAATAGTTGGCATGAGGCCCTTTCAAAGCAGGCAGTTTCTCTCATCCGTTGGCTAGGTTCCATACTTAGAGAAACCTAACGCTAGCTGTGCGATCGCAGCTTCCAGGGCAGGGGGTTTTTGTTGCCCATGCAACAAAACTAATAAACTAGTATAAACTAATAAACTAATATAAACTAATAATAATATTAGTTAATGCTTTCAAAACATCACCTCTGTTAATTAAAATGTTGTTTATAGTATTTTTCCATCTCCCTTAATGGCATTTTCTACCTGCCACAGGTGGAGCTGACAATATCCCACTCTGATAGATTCCATGTCTGCCTTGCTGCAGAACCACTGAGCACCTGGACATGGAAAGCTCCTAAAACTGATGGTCCCTCCCTGGTCATCTGAGCTAAGTGCAGAGGTCCATGGGTTCAATTCCAAGCGGGTTTGAACCCCAGAGAACAGGATCCGGTCACAGATAAACAAGATTAGATAAATCATGATCCCAGTTGGATAAAATTGATCCCAGACAACCTTCTAGTCAATCAAAAAATAGTTTCACCCCCTCCATCCTGATCCCATAAAAGGTCATCATCACCTCCAAGGGCCAGATCCCATATCACACCCGACTGACAGATGCCTGAGGTGAGTCTCCTGCCCCTTTAACTCCCTCCGTGCCTTTTATGAGGGTTCTGTGGGCCACCCATGAGATCCATTTCCAATGTGGCTACTGGGAGGGGCTCAGAGCATGATCCCTGTAGCTTCTCTGCTTCTGCTTTCACTGCTGCCTTCTCTGCCCCCCCCCCCAAAAAACCCCCCAGCACCACATTTGCTTCATTATTTAATATTCAGGAGCTGAAAGGTGAGACCGAGAAGGCAGACATGAAAGATGGAGAAAGTTTGACCACAAAAGAGCGAGGGTGTGGCTGTGGCCATCCTCAGTCTGACCACAATGGTGAAAAAAGCAAAGTTCTACATTTAGGCAAGAAAAACCAAATGCACAAGTACAGCATACTTGTGGCACCATGCTCAATAGTAGTAACTGTGAGAGGGACCTCGGAGTCCTAGTGGACAATCACCTAGATAGGAGCCAGCTGTGTGCTGCAGCTGCCAAAAAGGCCAACACAGTGCTAGGCTGCATTAACAGAAGGATAGAATCAAGATCACGTGAAGTATTAATACCACTTTACAAGGCCTTGGTAAGGCCACACTTGGAATACGGCATCCAGTTTTGGTCACCACGATGTAAAAAAGATGTTGAGACTCTAGAAAGAGTACAGAGAAGAGCAACAAAGATGATCAGGGGACTGGAGGCTAAAACATATAAGGAACGGTTGCGAGAATTGGGTATGTCTAGTTTAACGAAGAGAAGGACAAGGGGGGACATGATAGCAGTATTCCAATATCTCAGGGGCTGCCATAAAGAAGAGGGAATTAAGCTATTTTCCAAAGCACCTGAAGGCAGGACAAGAAGCAACGGGTGGAAACTAATCAAGGAGAGAAGCAACCTAGAACTAAGGAGAAACTTCCTGACAGTGAGAACAATTAATCAGTGGAACAGCCTGCCTCCAGAAGCAGTAAATGCTCCAACACTGGAAGTTTTTAAGAAGAGACTGGACAGCCATTTGTCCAAAATGGTGTAGGGTTTCCTGCCTGAGCAGGGGGTTGGACTAGATGACCTCCAAGGTCCCTTCCAACTTTACTACTATTACTAAGAGCGAGGGTATGGCTGTGGCCATCCTCAGTCCATGGGAGATGATTGCACAAGTAGGTTAGGGTGGTAAATATTGTATTGCTTTCCGGAGGCTTCTAAACATTTCAATACTTCTTCTTCTTTTCCCCTATCCATTATCGGACGTTGGCGATCATGTTGGCGATCCTGTTTTTATCAGCAGCCACACGAAAAAGTGCTGCTGAGTTTTGTTCAAACCAAGATTTTGAAGCCACGATGTTTTTCTTCTGCCTGGATCTCGTTTGCCTTCAATCTTTCCCTGGAAGATTAAATGGAGTATGCCATATTTTTCTGGGTATCGCGTCCCATGTCCGAAATATTCTAATTTTCATTT